TTTACGCGCACAGTGGGCGTGTGCGTGTGCGTGTGCTCGTGTTTTTTCATGAATGTGGTGAGGGACTTGCCGTTTATGGTATTGTGTTTAACCTTTGGCAGCGGTAGAGGGAGCTGGTAAAAATCAGCGACTTTCTTCGACGTTTGGTTAGTTTGATGACCGAGTTTTAGATGGCCAGCAGAGGTCTCCAGTTATCTCTTTGGACTAAGTGATGTACTTTGCCAACACCCAATTTTTTTTCTTTTTTTTGAAGGATATCGAAACTAGTTTTACACGGTCTTCTCTAGCTCTGAATACTTGGAATTAGAGATCCGCTAATCGATTCAATCTTGAAGCCTTAGATCCGAATTTTAGGTTTATCTAGGGTTAAATTCAAGATGTCGAGGCGACATCGATAATCCTCTATCGCCGTCCAGCACTGGATAAAATCAGCAATCTCTCGGTTCGTCTCCCCCACACTTTCACTATGACTACATTCGATTTCATGAAGCAGCGGTTTGCAGATGCCTCGGAGCACCATGCGGTGAAGAAAGTCGGCTCAGCGTTGTTCTACATGCTCCTGGCAGTGTTAGCCCTTATTATGACGGTCATGATCTGCGGGTACATCATCTACACTATTAGCTTCATCGTGCCCCCCTACTTCCATTTCATGTACGTCCATGGCCCTTACTCTTTCTTGGTGCTGCTGGGCTTGTGGACCGCCGCAGTCGTGAGGTTTTTGTCTCTGTCTCCTGAGGATCCCTTGTCTTTCAAATGGGAGATATCCATGTACGCTCTCTCCACATTCGTCATGTTTACAGGAGTGGGTGCCTTTGTGGTTTTGCCCTTCGTTCACCACACAAATTGAGACCTGCACAACAATTCATGAATTACTGGTCAGATCTCGATTGACTAATCGTACTTTATGCAATTGATTGCACCCAATTTGCGGCCATTGGATTCAAATATGAATTCAGCTGCGGTATATAACGAAGAGGATGTACACCTCCAATCTATAGACGATGAAGACGAAATTGAGTTGGAAATGAGCACGATTGTTCCTTCCGACTTCGTGTGCAGAACACTTGCCACACTAGTTCTAGTCCCATTTTGAACTGCATTAGAATACTGGCAATAGCTATGTCCGAGAATAGTTACTTTCAGCTCAGCTTGCCATGGCTTGTTGAAGGAGCTTCAAGTAGTGTAGCATTGATAACAAAGTAACAGCTTCTGAGGTCATTTCGATTGTAGTTGATATCCAGCTTGTAATTATTTGGGATGATTTGGCAAGAAGCATGTGCTGGAATTTACATGACCTCGACAGCACATGCTTAGGCTGAGACTAGAAGCTGTTGACATACTATCTGATCAGAGCAGAGCAGAGCGGCTTATCTTACGCCTGTTTTTTCATCCAATTCTACTTTCCACCGCCCATGACCAGCAAGAAAGTCTATGAAATTTAGGCCACTCTTCAAGTTTTCATCGGCCACTACTTTCTACTTAAGTTGAGGGCAACTTCTCGCTCAAAGACAGATGCAATGCCTCACCTGCTCCTCCGAATCTTTGATCTCAACTTACGTGGCGAGGTTTACGAAGTATTGCTACTTTTCTGCTTTTTGCATCATTTCCAGAGTCACCTACAGCCTTCAGCAGGCATATCTTGTGGGTCCTTCGATGTCGATCTTACCTCTTGGACATGTCTCCTCAACTTGGTGTCTCTAGAGGTTTGTCTATGGCCCCACTGGCCTCACGAATTCAAGCACCGTCACTTCTTTACCTCCTTAATTGTTGTCCTGAATCGCTCTAAGTCTCTGTCGTGATTGCCATGAATCCTTGTATACCCCATGAAGTATATTCAATCAATCTCATTCTGACTTAATCAAAAAAACAAATGGAAGCCCAATAAGCACTTGGATACGTGTGCAACCTCTCCCAACAAAATTTTGAATCAGCCCTCATCCCAAAAGCAAGCCTTGCAGTATTCCAAAATGCGCCCCCTCTTATCATTGGTTCAACAAAGACAAATCACCTGCATGTGATATTGCAACGCTGAATCGTCCTCTTGTTACCCTACTCGAATTTATTTTAACAAGATCCACTCACTTTTCTCACTTTCCTCACTTTCCTCACCTTCGGTGTCTTCCATGTGATGCCAATTTACGCTTCCTGAAGAGGAAAAAAGTGCCTTCACACTGCAAAGTTGACTGAAATAGTTGGTCAGCTACTTTTGCATCTTAGCTTAAGAAAAGCGAGAGAAAACATGCACAACGTACCTGCGTGTGTTCAAAGATAACAAATATGGGCCGTGCTCATTTCCCGGTTCGGAAAACCAGGTTCAGGGGCTGCAATTCCTACCGTTCCAGAACTGCTTCAGAAGCCACACATGTAAGTCCATTCTTAGCTACGTACTGTTGAGAAGCCACTGTGCCTGATGGTGGAGGCTTGTAGCTTCATGTACACTCAAAATGATCGTCAGTTCATTTAGTTTGGATTTTAGCCAAAAAAGAGAAGGCACGGAAGCCTAAACACATCACATTATTGTTCACTCCTGTTCATCAGCTTGCAGATGAACAACAGTGATGCATTCGCAATGTTTAACTTAACTTATTGCGAGTTCATGTGACACTTCTAGTGTTGCCGAACCAGTTCTACACAGTTAATATTTCTCCAGCTACATAATTCTCTACATCTGATTATGCCTCACAACAGTCACAATTGTTCTCAGGATTCTTCACATTAATTGGACTTGACATCTCTCTATCAGTATATCTGAGCAGAATGTCGCCGAACACAAACCTGCCAGGATCTTCTACATGCATCAACACTTGCAGGTTTTTGGTTCATTAATGTATTGTTGTCCTGTCGCAATGTCTGAATATCCCAGGAATAAGCCTGTGAAGCCCTCTGTTTAAGATTCTTCGCTCTCAATGAACTAAAATCAGCTTTGTTTGTGAATCAAAAGGTTCAATCGTTTGTAAATATCTCATGCGGTATCTAACTGTTAAATAACTTAGCTTTTTATGTTAAATTTGATCTATGTGATGATTGGTGGGTAGTTTTTTAATCTCAATTTTGTTGAATACCTAAGTTCGATAGATTGTGATGTGCGAATGATCTTTTATCTTTTTCTTTTTCTTGGATGATTTTGGTATAATTATTTAAAGTCTATCCAGATGAATTTAAAGTTATTGTTGAAACTTACGATTTTTTTATAAACATATTTTTTAGTTTGTAATTCTTTTGCCAAAAGAAAGTGGGTGCATTAGTTCCAATTTAGTTATATTCTTTATTTTATAGTTTTCTTTCTTTATTTTATATACTTCACATGTTTTATATTGCATTATCATATTGAGTAATGAATAATATTTTCTTCTTTCATTAAATCCATCAATAAAACCTCAAAGCTCAATAATTTTACACAGTTCGCAATTGCAAATTTAAAGTACATGTACAAATCAATATATTTCTTTTTGAATACTTTCACAATCAAAACTATTATTTGAATTTAAAATCTCCATTTTTTTTTTTTAGTACACCATAAAAAACACTAGATCATTGAACATCTTGTACATCAATGTTTTTTGTATTATCCATGGATGCTCATTAGAAAAATACAACTATTGACCATCATGAACTTATTAGTCTTTTTCTTTTATAATATTTTTCTTCAGGAGTATAAATTGTTGATGTCAATGTATTTTTTATTCATAAACTCTTGAAAATTTAGACCATTACTCCCCCCCCCCCCAAAAAAAAAAGAAAAAGGGCATAATAATCTTGAATTACAGTTTTGTAATTGTTGTAATGGACATTGCTGCCAAAGTTTATTTTTATTTGAATCCACCATATGTAATCCCAAAATCTTGTGTACCACGAACATATGTATTGAAAAGTTTTCAAACATTACAATCTTTATGGTGGACATCAAACTGAAAGTCGTCAACATTATTGGTTACAAATGCAACAATAGACCTTGTAAAACGACCAACAACGGGAAAACTTCCCAGGAGTTCCGTGTGAGTAAAATGAGCTTCCTTGAACAAGGCACACTGTTAAAACCTGAACTGAATTTCGTTGCAACGAGCAGAATGGGAAAAAAATAAAATAAAATAAAAATCATGTGGCCAATACCTCTTGAGGAATGAAGCCAGTTGTCAAGTTTTCAACAACCAGTGCTCCTGAAAGAAACGTGGGAGCATCGGAGAGAGAAGACAAGTTCATAATACAACAGTCAGTCACAATGCCAGTACATGGATGATTGAAGGTTCTTCAGTGTGATGGATTGCGGTGGTTATGCTTTAGATCTGTTTCTGCAGACTTGCTGCAGATGGAATATCTTGAATCGTATCAGTTCATGTGCATAGGCTGGTGATGGTCCAGATTCATTCAAGCTTTGCATCACGATTCCACCAGATGGTTTCGCCGTAAACGGTTACATTCAGTCAATTCTTTCACATGCTTGCACAAGTCGTATGTGAACGTGGGTTAGCACAGCAGTTCACAACTTTGCCAAGTTAGCAATGTTGATGATGCCAGAGATGATGGACAGATTGATGAAAAGCGTCGTCGTGCCGTAGACTTTGATTGTCACTAGGATTGGAGGATATGGTTACGGAGTAGAAGCCATGCAGGTGTTCGAACAATGTAGGCTGGAAGAGTAAGATGACAATTTTGGGCGTTTGCGAGTGTCCTGGCATGCTGGTTTCGTCGATTAAGGATTGCATGATTTCTAGTTGATATTTTCATAGATGAGGTCTTAAGTTGACTATAATACGCTTTCGGTCAGGTGGACCGATTGGAAGAAGCAGTGAACCTTTCCAGGGCGTGCCACTCAGCTGATGCACCAACCTCGAAAGTTGTTTTGTCAAGGTGCAGTGGAATAATGCAGATAATTTAATAACGGCTCGGTAACGTTTACAAACTCCCGAAGGCCCCACCAAACACAACTTTCAATCACCTCAGAGTTCAAATCTAAGGTGATTGAGAGAGAAACGTCCAGCGATTCACGTCATTTCAGTCACTTTAAAGAAGGCATGTTTTCTCATGGTTTGTGTACTGGAAATAATAAAAAGCTGGCCATACGAGTTCGCAAGGGATTTTCAGTAGATGAGGGTCAAGCAGCACAAAGCAACATCACTCTGACTGCTCTTTACTGGAAACAGTACTAACATAGAAAAGGTTTCTAGTCACATAAATAAAAAGACATTTTTATGTTGTTCAGTGTCATTTATAACTTATGCTGCAGCTGACAGGGTAGTTGAATCATCTCTCTACCCTTGAAATGTTCTCCCCGGTGGCGGAACTTCCAAATTCTTTTAGAATTTTGTTGCCAACACTATCCTCTCAAAGAGCTCTATGGCGCCTATGTAGGCACCAGTTGGTTGAAACAAGTTCAAATGTGTTCAGATGGGTGTGGTTAGGCAACCTGTGAGCATGTAGTTCAGTGTCAGTTTTCGATTTTGAGAAAAGAAAAATTGAAACCCCACCGCACATTGTAAGAACCGCCCCTGTGAAACTCTGCGCTTTCTCATTCCTGGTCTGTAAAATCACCTTGAATGAAGCAATCACAAACCACAGAAAATGCGCCATTCTTAGTCATGGTTTCCCGACAAATTAAGGAGGCAAAAAACCTATGCTCCACTATTTCACGGACTCAACTACCACTCGTGTTCACTTGCGCACATGATCCGCGCTGTAGTCGTTTGCAGATACGATAACCTCGTAGGTAACAACCTACACAGCAAGAGTGCGACATATGATGAATGTTAGACCGATAGTACCTCATAGCAGACGCAGGTTTCAGTCTACGAAGGACCAATCCTCATGCTACAGTAACGTTTAATACATTGATAATTACGTTGTAATCCAGCATCAAGCACGTTGGACTCACAAAGCGTGGAGAGGAGTGTTCAGAATTCATGAAATGTGGAAGCGGGAACGGACACTTCCTCCTCCCAATTCAAGCCTTCACCAGCTTTGACCGACTCCGCTTGGGGTGCAATGAGCACGACTGGAGTTTCCAACGGCGGCGGCTTCATATGGCGGAGGAGCGACCAGTTGATGCCACTAAAGAATGGATGGTTCTTCACATCGTTGGCGCCGTTGCGGGAGCCAAGCCGTTTGTTTGGGTTACGTTGCAGAAGGTCCCGCATTAACTGTCGCACAAGTATGCTTACCGGAATGCTTGTCGGGAAGATGAGGTCTCTTTGGAGCACATTGGTGAATGTCTTTTGTCGATTTTTCCCTCGGAATGGTGTTCGACCATACAGCATTTCGTAGATTAGGATCCCTGCCAGTGCAAAAGTCTCGACAAGATGTGAGATTGGAGTGGTTAGGGAACTGCAAGAGAGAAAGTGAATGACCGTGGAAGAAATGCTTACCGAGCGCCCACCAATCCACGGCGCTGCTGTGACCAAGTCCAGTGATAATTTCCTGTACAGCAATTCCGAGAGGCGATATTACACACTTTCCATAGAAGCGATGTGCAAAAGACGCAACTAACATAGAGAACTAATGCAGAGACTTACAGGCGCAATGTATTCTTCAGTACCCACAAAGGAGTTCGAACAAGTCGCGGGTTCTATGAAGAATATCGGAGGAGGGAAATGTTTTGGCTTTCTGCGGCGGCCTGGAGGCAGAGCTTGTTCGACGAGCTGCACGATTGCCAACAATTCGTTACGCTCGCAGAAGGCACAATAACAATACAGCTTTGAGAAAGACGAAGAATGGAGGCAAATTGGTTTCGAGTATCTAGTCTTCACATAAACAAATTGGCGGAACGCACCCTAGGCTTCGCCGATGTCAAGAATGACAAGTCAAAGTCCGTTAGCTGTATATGCCCGTCCGCTTGGAGCAAGACGTTTTCTGGCTTCAGGCCCCGGTACACGACGCCTGTGTTCCACGCGAGCCACAAGTCAAACACAAATGTACACAAATTGCCGGTCCCTCGTGACTAAATCATGCTCAATCCTAATTTTTAGTGAAGAATTCTGCATCTGAATGTGATGACAGTCCTTACCAACGCAATGCAGATACTCAAGAGCGATGACGACTTCGGCCGCGAAGAAACGGACCACGTCTTCGGTGAACACTTTTCGCGGTTGCTGCTCGAGGAGCAAGAAGAGTTCACTACCAGGGCAGAAGTCGGTGATCAAGCAAATGTGCGTCTTCGTCTGCACAATGTCGCAACCTCCGCACTCAAGCGTGAGATGTGTTTAACCTTAAGATCAATTGTTTCAACCCCAGTATGAGGAAATTTACTCAAAAACTGATACATCGAAACAGAGGTAGAGAACAAGGGATCTGGAAGGTTGTGTATAGAGTAGGCAGAAACGGATGATCCACCAAATCCAGAATGTCCCGCTCTGCGCGTGCTCGGTGCACCTTGTTCCGCAGCATCATCAAACTTTTGTCCATCGCTTTCATGGCGAACACCAACCCCGTCTCACGAAGCTCCACCAAATGCACACTGCACAGCAGAGCAATCCGTTATCAAAACCATACTAACGACCAACATCCAAACCCAAATAGCATGGAAAAGTATTGCACAATGGAGAAGATAACTGCACACCCAAAGTACCTTCCCGTGTCACCGGACCCCAGAGGCTTGATTGGGCGAAAGTCTTTCAATCCTAGACTTCGCCCATCATTCGTTATTTTTCGAATTACATCCCAAGCTGGTGAGTCTTTCCTGTGCGGCTTCGGGTGCACAAGCAGTGAATGCGTGAACCACAAATCAGCGGGATTCTTGCGCACGCAACCCAACAAACTCGTGAGTAATCTGCTTATTGAAAGCAAGGAGGTAATGAAGATCCAAGGATCTGATGCGTGAATGAACCAGAAGTAGTACCATATTAGCATCGGGAAGCTCCCGCAGGGCGCCATCGATGTTACCAGCCGTCTCTTGCACTTCTTTAGTCCCCTCTTTCTCAGTTTTCTTGGGCAACCCACGTCTCTCCGGTTCAAGATACTCGCTGCCATCGAGCTGAACTCCAATAAAGTATTGCAACTCTCCCTGCAACTAACCGGAAGTACATGAGAAATTCATCTCTTGCTATTCATCAAGGTACTGCTGCAATTACTTAGGGTTGCAGATAGAATGCGAATAACTCACATTATGATCTCGCATACTCTGCAAGTGGAACAGATTCCAAAACGGCTTCCCTGCAGCACCACGACTTCGACAGTTAGTCAAGATTCCATCGTCTGATTCAACTTTCACAATTTACCACAAGCCGGAATAGCCTGTAGAATCTTTGTGTTATCAGAAACAGAACTCCTGCATGAAGCGTCCAACACTTACCACTCTTGGTGTAATTGAGAAGCTGCACTGTGATGTCGCGACGGGCGGCAATGGCATCGCGGATTTGATCAACGACAGCGCGGTCTGTGTCTGGTCCTTGTAAGAACCGGCAATTTCTGCCGAGAATCTCCTCTCGACTGTACTCTGTCAACTCCAGAAACTCGTCGGATGCAAATATCTGCCATTTGTGTGGCATGAAACAAGCTTAATTGCAGGGTCTGATTGCTGGAGGACAGATGGTGCAAAAACTTTCGAGAGAATAAACGTGGCTGTACTTACAATTGGATTGTCTGGAAGGCGAGGATCAGTAATCACGAAATTTTTCGGAATACGTTCTAAAGTAGTTGCCAGATCAATACCACGTCGAGTCTTCTTACTCCTCTCAACATCAACTTCAAAACTCTCCGGCCGGTCTTCGTCGTCCAGCATTCTCAGCTCAGGATCCAATTCGGGGTCCGGTAATGCAGGCTCCGATTTCCCCAACCTGCACAGAGTCGCATCTCTAATCAGAAAACCACTGTTACCACCAATTTTAATAATGTAACATGGGCCATACAGCAGACGTACCCAAGGAGGGACAAAAACCCAGACGATCGCCGATTTCGCCGTAGAGAGTGCGCGAGCTGATCATTCTCGGGGGTATTCGAAAAATGAGAATCACTTCGCATCATGACGTTTGTGCTGGTCGACCGTCGTCGTGAGGAATCAATCTGACGACCTTGGAATGTGGGCTTTGTATTCGTCACAGAATGGGCCATGTCATTCTCTGTCAGCATCGATGGCGTTGGTTTCAGGCTAGAAGTTGGTCTTTTTGTGGTCAATGTTAACGCTCCCGAGTTCTTCAACGCCATAACTAGGTCGCCAACAGCTTCCGCTGCCTTGTCTTGCAGTCTTACGTCGTAACGGATCAGTGATTCGGGCAGGCCGTTAGGACGCAACGCCTTCTCCTTCAAGCCATCCGTGTGCTTACTCACCTCAACCTGCATTCTGGTCTCCAATTATCAAATCCTCATCAACGTTAAATTAATCGGCAGTGTGAGCTCGAATCGAGTCTGTGGAGACTGAATGGATTCTCTACGCTGCAGAACAACTAACCCGATATATTTCAGAACTTTGCCGGCATCGTCCTTGATCGGGGTCATGGTAAGCAGGTTCCAAAACGCGGAACGATCCTTCTTGTAGTTGAGCAAGCGGCCGCAGAAGTTCTTGCCCTGCTGGAGTGCCTCTCTGATACTCGCAATGTCCGCCTTGTCAGTTTCAGGGCCCTGCAAGAAACGGCTGCTCCAAAGCGTACACAATTAGCTAAGTGTGCATCAATAATAGGCCGAGCACAGAAGGAATTACAGCACTTCAAGAAACTGCGAACTTACCAGCTACGGCCGATGATCTCCTTCGGCGTATACCCCGTCATGGTAAAGAAGCCTGCACTTGCATACAAGATGGGAAAGTCGGGTTGTACAGCATCACACACCACGAAGGTCTGCTGGAAAGTGGACAGAGCATCCCTGACTTCGCGTGAGACCCTTGGCACGTTAGATGCATGACTTACGTCGCTGCCTGCATCTGACCTTCCTGCGTCTGACGCCTCCGAAGTTCTCATCGATGCTGGGAGTTTTCCGATGCAGATCAATCTGTGGGGATAGCGCAGCTTCAGATTCTTGCTCTCCTTCTGCTACCGAATTGCCTCCGAACAAAGTTCCTGCCGCTCGAAGATAGCAGGTACTCGTGGGCGCGCCTCCGAATACCTCCAAGGATTTTCGCTCTGAACGTGGGGCAGCATTGTACCTGCCGCGTCCCCACGAACGCCCTGAGGCGGCAGCCGCCATCCCAACCTTGGCGCTTGAGGATGATGGATCCTGGTCCTCCATCGTGCTCTTCTAACAGCAGCCTTATCCCAACACCTGCACAACCATTGCCAAGTCAGCAATTATCACCAAGACATGCCACCTTCACAGATTCTGCCCTGCATAATTTGCAACATATGAACTAATCTCCTTAGTGGTCGAAATGGCTTGTCATACATATCGATGACTTCACATGAAAATCTAGCAAATGGATACTACGCTCGTCTTACGCCCTCGGGAAATGAATACTAACAAATTAACCAATGAGAAAAACAATGTCGCTGCGGCGATTACTCCAAGAGTGAAATACCTGATAAAACATTTTGTAACTCACTCCTACCTGAAGCTCGCAGCGGAAGGGATGCAGAACACAATCTGAAATATGGGAGTCGACACCCCCGGATTCAACACGCATCGCCGTTTGGAGAAATTCTGGTCATGCACTTTATAATCCCAACGGTCACATAAATCCAAGTAGAGCGTCCAAAAAATGGTTCAACGTCGTTGACTATACTGCGAACACACTGCACCCACTCTCTCACCATGGATTCTTGAAAAGCCAACAACACGACTAGCTCCTCACAATGTCCCAGCTCCCCGATGCACCCCGGCGGCAGAAGACACCAAAGTGGCCACCTGCCCAGCTCGCCTTCCCACGCGCACAGCAGGAAGGCAACAGAAGGTGGTGAAAATGCTATATTTTAGAGGAAACGGCCATGCACCACGTGAAGCCGACAGGACACCATGCGCCTCCACTTGAGAAAATCGCCAACGCCTTCACAACGCAAATTTCGATGCGATTTGCGCACTGTTGACATTGAACCTGACTGGTGGCCTCCTCTCTGTCTTTGTCAGAGAATATAAGCTAGCCTGCGCGGTAGGCTCTTCATCGCTGCCCAGTTGGATTCACGTTTTGCAGCTAAGCAGCCATGATGACTGCAATTTTACCAAACACTTGGATCATCTCTTGAATGCGCTTGCAGCAACCGCCATGTGGAGATCTCTCGTTTGCTCATTCAAGGATTGAGCCCGTTGCTCAGTTGCACGTAGATGGCTTTCTGGTGATTGCCTATTGGCTTTCTTAGGTCCATAGACTAGCAACAGCAGCAGGATTTTCTTACAGGGTGGGAGAGGGGTTTGTGGTGGCGGCGGCAGCGGCGGCTGATATGTTGGATCGAACACCTTCGCTATGTTTCCTCCCCTTCGACATATCGCCCATCATCCAACAAGCATATCGTAATTCATCGTTAGTAAACAAAAGAATACCAATGTGTAATTTATAATTTTCAGTTATTATTATTGTTCATAAGTCATGCATAATTGCATCACCTAATCACTTCACTCTGTCATTTAACAAGCTAGAGTTTACTTGTTGATAAAATTTGAGGTGAAATACTCTACTTGCCAGTGTATTTGCAAAGTAAATTCATGATGTATTGTAGAACGTTTAATTGTGTGGATAATAGCTGCATTTGCCGCAGCAACTCTTTGTTGTGCTATGAATCATCAATTTTTATTAAGGTTTCCTCATCTTTATTTTTTCCATGTACACACTCCTTCAAAAATCCATGATTTCTGACCACATTCTGGATGGATTCGTTCAAATCTCTACCTGGCTAAAACACAATTTTCACCTGTTTTTGTTGTGTTTTGAATTTAATTTGGAAACTTTCCTAGGCAAAGCTGGCTCTGGATTGTGGATTGTGGAGCGTGCAGTGCGAGGTCTCGTGGGATGAAGCGGACATCATGTGGAAAATAGTTCACATGCAGATGCAAGAGGCGAACAGGCTCGGTGTGGACGTCACTACGGAGGCAGAGACGCTTCGAGTAACTCCAAAACCCAAAACCAAACCCGCAGGCAGGCTCCACACGGGCGTCAGCCGGCAGCTTCTGACGCTTTGCGAAGGTAGTCATAGCTCTCGGTCTACCTACAGGGGCTGAGCTCACTCATTGCAGTTTCTGTGGGACCCTCCGATGCCAGAATTTCTTACCTCGAAGCAGCTGCAGTAACCAAAGCGCTTGCCCATAGACCTTCGATTTGCTCCTGCCAACTGAATCTTGCTGATCGCAGCTGCCGGATCTCATGCAAGGTATAGCATGAAACGCCGTTTGCAAAAAAATACCCCCCACGCAGATTCATCTCGTACTATGCATTTGAAATGGAAACAGTGGCAAGTCGGTTTAGCAGCTTGGAAGGATGATGCTCTCGCTCAACCCAGTCAATCAAAACTCAATATCTATGAACGCATGGCATGCTCACCCTTGCTTCGTATCGCTCTTCCCTGTCAGCCCATGATGTGGGTACGAGAAGATCCTCCACGAGGCACGTCAAAGCCACGCACTGTGGCTGGACTGCGAAGCTCTGCGATCTCGCACGGGCTGGCTGGATCCATGCACCCAGCTCCTTTAACACCAGACTGTCAGGGTGGGTGCGGTGCGGCGAGGGTAGTCCAGGGTGAATGTCAGGCCTGGGGGACGAGGGTGGCGATGGAGCATGGATTCTGCACTTCCTCTGCTCTGCTGCATTTCTCTGCTGTGTTTTTAGGATTGTGGATTCTCTCGCAGGAATTTTGTGATGGAGCAGGAAGATCATGCCCTCGTGGTTTCACGGGACGTAAGCTCTTGCAACTCTGCCGCTTGTCGGGGATTGCATCGGACCAACTCCATTCACTTTAAGAGATGGTTTCCCACTTTACGAATGAAACATAACAAACAAACTGTAAAGAAGTTGAAGCAAATAGAAAGAAAATAAATAAATAAATAAAAGTTAAATATTAACAACAACAAAAAGAGAGCAGTAGTAGGAGAGGTGGAATAGAAAGTGGGGATATTTAAGTTGTCCTTAGTGGGTAACTTTGAGTTAACATTTTCATTGATTGATACAATGATTCACTGTAAAATGCATACATGTTGAATAAGAACTAGCAGTAAGAATTTAATATGTTAAAGAAAATATCATCATGTCAGCTCAGACGGCTCTGGGGGACAAGTCAGCTCGGCATCTTTGCTGCCAGCAAGGACAACGGACCACTTGGCTGCCATGTCAGCAAATTTGACTCCCACTTGTACCTGGGGATTACCAAACTTGCCCTTGGAAAGGGATTGTGGAGCAACTTCCAAACCCAATGCCACAAATGGGCACTTTAAGAGTGTTGATATTTGTGGTACATTCATCTCTTTTGATCAAGAAAGTAAAAGGTACACATCATGCATATTTGTACAATTGTAGACAAAATCGCCCCAGTTCTTATACTTTTACTTAATGTAATGAACACTAATTCTATTTTTAATTTTAGGGGGTGGAACAATAGTTTATTTATTTATTTTGGTAAATTATAGATGTGTAAAAGCATGTAGTCTTCACCACTTGGATAAACTTGTTACTTGTAGAGTGGATGTGAGAGAAGATGATTAAAACCTATCTACATGGTAAAACTTTCAACAAATAACTTTAAACTTTGCAAAATAAACTAAAAGCTGGATATTTATGGAAATCTAATTAAAATAAAAAATAAAAAAATAAAAATCTTAATGTTTATATTTTAAGATGTATTTTTTATTATTATTGAATTAATTTTAATATGTAAAGTAATATTATTTTGTTTCAAATAAAGTCTTTTCCAAATAACATGTGATGATTTGAAGATTGCTTCATATCATATTTATCACATCATAATGAATCAGAATTTAACATTAAATATAATAATTACATTTAATGGTATTCTACGACTCTTAACAAATGAAATCATAAATGAAAATAAAGAAAAATGTAAGAAAAGAAAAGAAAAAATAAATCAAAAAATCAAAAAATCAAGCAATGAGGGATTAAGCAGTCTAACAATTTTGTATATGCAATGACTTAGTTGCATATTTTGCATATTTTATCTTTTGTTTTATTATTTTCACAGAAAAATTATTACATATTTTTAATTTTTTAATTATACATAATATTGTAATTTTTAGAATGTATGTTAAATTGAATTTTATTATTGTAATAAAATTTTATATTATACAGTGTTTCCCATTTTAATTAATATCATCCACTGCAAGAAAAAGTATTAATTACTAGAGGTTAATAATCTTTAAAGATGGCTTGGTGAAGGTAGGATAGAAATCATGCTTGCTAAGGCCTTACAATCTAGGTTGTGTACTTTTAGCATGGCAACCATGTGGCCCTGCCAATTCTTTGGTCTTGCCTTGCCTAATCAAGTATAGCCATGTAGCCCTACTAGCCGCATGGTCTTTGTTAATTGATGAAAATTAATTAATTATTAGAAATTAGAACGTATTAATTATACACCATTAAACAGTCAATTTTCAAAATTTTAATTAATTATTAGTGGTTATTAGTTTTTGGGAGATTAGTTACTGGAAAAAATATTGTAGTTATTACTCTCTTGACTACAAAATATAACATACATCAATAAAACTATACTATATTATTTAAAATATTTTTTCTAAATCTCATGCATTCAATTTAAATACTACATAAAATAATAACAACAATGAAATCACTTTGATAAAAACTAAAACAATATATTGTGCACTAAGACTACTTTTGTAGATTTTGTAATACAATATTTGTTTGAATTAAAATCAAAAATCAAAAATCAATAAGATTTAAAACTAGATGTATGTGTGTGTATATATATAATTGATATTAATATTAAAATTATATTTTATCTATATACAAAATTACAATCTTAAGCACCCTCTAAATATTTTGACATATTTGTACCACTTTTTAAAGGTCTTTATAAGTCTTAAAAAATCTTCTAAGTTATGTTGTAATTGTCTAAAAGTTTCTTAGAACATTTTGTAATCTTTTTAAGGATACTTTAAACTTTATATTTATCTTAGCTTTTTATAGTTTGTCAGAAGTTTCCAAAAAACTTATTTAGATATTAACAAACATAGCTTACTATTTTGGAGTAGCGAGTCGGCTGCAAATAGGCAGCAGGTGGAACAAGACTCTTTTTAAAAAACATTGGTTTTATTTTGGAACTTAAACAACTTCAGCAAGAAATGGTTTATTTTGGAGAGAACATTCCCTCAATATTGAGAGATATGGGGGTTGATCCCAAGTGGCAGCATAGAGGGCATAGGTTTTCACTGTTCAAAGTTGAGATGTTTGTTTCGCACTATGTCTTTTCTTTGTAGAATTCTTTAGATTGGACTTTGTTGTTCTCCTCTCCCTTGGCCTATGGGTGAATATTGGATCTTTAAGTTCTCTTCTATTGAGGTGCTCCCAAAATGGACAGGCATGCATGCACGTAGGAATTTTGTTTTTTGTTTTTTGTTTTTTTTTTTTGTTCTTTTTAAAAAGGGCATCCAACTTCCAATTGAAAGACGGTTTTTAATGTATATGTATGTGCATTTACAGATAAAACCATCGGATTTTACAATATGATGACATAAACTTGAAACTAAATAATTCTACGAACATGAAAAAGAGATCCTGAGGGATATTACATGGAGAGTTTGTTTCGTAGTCAAACTACAACGTTTGACGAAGAATTCACAAGCTTGAACGTTTCAGTATGGCAGTGATTTCAAACTGGTAATCTCCGGAAGTGAGTGAGGACAGAAAAGACAGATAATGGATACAAAACATCAGAGTAACCTGTAGCAATCGGATTCAAAAAAGACTAGCATGATTTGTCAACATTTGACGCTGACGAAAACCACACCTTTTATTAAAACCACCCTATTGCAGGCATCCCTAGTTCGTACTACTAAGTTGGATATTTTAGTGACAACCTCACTAGCCTGATTACCAGAGACGACAAAGGACACTAAAGAAAATTGTGCAACTACGGTGAGGCATTATGGGCCAACAAAACTATGTGTTATGAATCATTGTGGAATTTGTTAATAGTTAAGGGTTACATATTTTACAATCACTATGTCAATACATAGGACCACAGCAAAACCAGCGGGCACTAAGAAACACACATAACAGCAAGAAACCCAGTGGTGATACCCACATGGACCTCAAGTACGCCTCTATTACAATGTCGATGATATCTCGTCTATATCTTGTAAATGAGATGTTAGCGACGAAAATTTAGGTCTTTTGAGACTTGACCTTGCCACCTGCACTAAGAAAAATTGTATTAGGACAGAGATGATATTAAAGGCGCGCGCCATAAGCTAGAATACCCGTGGATTGAGTACATCCTTGAGGAATAAAAGTACGTGACACCAAATGACACTAGTAGTGCTTCCCGTCAACTGCCCTCATTCCAGTGTAACAATAGAATCAGTTATAAATAAAAGATCATGATGAAGAGGAAGCAAGAGGAAACTATCTCACAATGTGAAACTCATATAGTTCTGAAAAGATGAGAGAACCAACGGGAGGAAGCACACCTGTGAAGTAAGAATGCGGCCACTGGACTCAAACCCGAATCGTAACTTTTGTCCCTTTGAGATCTAAGTCTAGCAGTCCCAGAACGAATGTGCGAAGATGGGACATGTCCATCTTTTTCACCGCCATTATCTGAGAGTAACCGGCGTGCTAGGCTCTGCAGACCTTTCACAGGAGCTTCGTCTTTTCTGAAAAACAGGATTAAACCAATCAGAGCACTAAGTGATTCCAAAGTATCGACTAGAAGTATACCAGAAGCTTACATAATTCACATTAAAATTATCCCATGAGTTCCTATATCATAACTACAGAAAAAATTCAGTAAGTTATAAAACAGTCAGAGATTAAAAGTTTTCGATCCAAAACTAATATGTTCCTAATAACATCACTACAACACAGTATACGGATGCATGTAAATAACTATGTCTTCTCATATGAAAAAGCAACTGATCCATTGACGTGATGTTGTGATTTGACGTAACGTTAACGTTTGTCAGCTGGCATCCCTCCGCGGAAGTTACTGCATGCCTGATGGGCATAAAAGTTTCTGATTAATCCAGTACCTGATTAGTTGTCTTAGAAGTTTGCTAACAAGAACTTCACAAGCACCTGGCGCCAGCCGCTCCAGATCCATCAAAGCGTCCGCTGCATCAGCTGCAGCTCTTAAAGCAGGCCCTTCCGACTGCTCAGCTGCAGTCTGCATGAAACGCTGCAATCAATTAAAGGTAGGTTTGATGGACTGTAAAGGCACTGCCCGGCAAGGAAAGCCATTAATTGCCACTAGGTTTTAAGAGATTACTCGCCATTTGTTGCTTTATCATGCTTGACGCTACCTGGACTTTAATTGGACAAGTTTATGTAGTACATGTTCAAAACTGTTCCAGCCTAACTAAAATGTCGATGATCCAAAATGAAATGATTCACTTAATATGATTAGAGTTGACGTAAACTGTTTCCTCCGAATTATCCTTTCAAAACTAGGGTGGGTTTCAATCTCAACTATACCCACAGACACTCATTACAGCGATCTCTCTGTATCTGACACATAATTTAATTAGATTTGACGTTCATAAAGAAAAGAAGAAAAAGCTGTTTGCAAAGTGAGACTTAGTAGCACTTTCCTATCCTTTCTATTAAGCTCCATCGTCTACTATCAGTATGGGGTGAAATGACAAAATAGTTACCTCTTTAAGAGCAGGTATTAGAAGAAGGGTCAAGGCAGCCGATGCACCAGCTGCAGCGGCTCGGGCAACGTCCTCCTCACTGGCCCGTCTACTCTGCCTAGAAGCTGCCTTTGGGGTCTCTCGAGGATCACTGTAGCCAAAAAATCAGAAAGGTTGGACAAGTACATCTAAACCTAATGAATAGAAGTCCAACCATGAAAATAGAAGTAGAAGATCCTTGTGACATGAGAAACTAAAATCCACCCATTTGGATAACTACCCATGCAAGGTGCAAAAGAAAAAGACATGAAGGCAAGAGCAGTCCAAACTTCATGGGTGCACATAATCATTAACCAACCTTAAATGCTCGTGAGCATCTTTCCGTAATTTCACTGGTGTAGGACCTTTTGGACCTCCTTTCCTCATTCCAGCTTGAAGGGCAGCTTTGGCCTGAAGGAAAAAAAAAGTTACAGTAACCCACATAACTCTAAATTTCTACTTTAGGCACATAGAGGCATACACTCAAGGTTGTAAAATTCGTGAACATAAAGAGAATACGTCAAATGCTAAATCAAAGATGTGGACCACCCCTCAGATGAAGATAATAACATCGAGATTGTAAGACTCCTTCATGTTAATATAGAATTGCTCGGAACCAAAGAAGATTAATCAAAAACCTCGGCAAGATTTGTTGCACTATCTTCTCGAGCTTCTAGATTAATTTTTGGAGTTCCTGGGATTGAGCCTCCCTCGTCTGGTGTACTGCTTCGCACTATAGTCCCACTTGAAAAACCTTCCGAAGCTTCTTCATTTCTTGATCCTCCAGTGGTGTTAACCTGCGGGTGAAGACATAAGTTCCTGATCCCAGACTGAGAAAGGACAACACAAACAAGCTCGGGACGCGTGCCTACGCGTACAAGGAAGTCACGTTATGGAATGGCAAAAAGTACGAAGGGTATAAGAGTGTCAGGTCAAGGAGTACACTCACAAGTAATCGAGAAAGAAGAATTTACCGTAGTAGCTGACAGTGACCCTAGAAATGGTCGTGCTTGAGATCTTCCCTCCATACTGCTATCACCACTTGCATGGGGCCCCTGCAAAAAAATAAGTTACTTTGGGTTAGTGAATCAGCTCCTGGTTTCACCTAAATTCGTTAAAAGCAGCACGGCCATACCACTTTCAGTTGCGTTTCCCAAGACGTTAGCTATTTAGATCGTATCCCTCACATGCAAGACCGAGTAGTGGACCTCATAATACAGTGATGAAAGTTGACACTCCAAGCTGTGAGCCAAATTATTTACGATCTAAACTCAAAAATTAGCGGCGAAACGAAGTCAGCAAAATAAAGTAATTCAATTTTTTACAAATCCCAACGAAAGGCATTTGGACGCTCCCCGAATTAAAACTTACAGGATCTCTCGAAAAGTACGGTTCTGCATCTAATCTTTTTTGCGTGCCGAAACTATTTCTACGAAGCGCATTTATATCCACACTGGCATCCCTCAGTCCTGCATCAATTTGATAATCAAGTTCTGCCTTGCTCAAAAGAGTGGGCAATACGTCGCTTCCTTGATGTAAGGAATTATCAGTCCCTCGAGGCCTGTCTTGATCTATTTGCCCAAACGTCTTTGAGCTGCTTCGGAGAGTACCAGTAGTATGTATACTGCCAGTCCCAAAGTCCCAACTTGCATCCCTACGTCGAGAGCTGATACATAATATTACGAGGCATCACAGAATGAGGACGTATTCAAAGGAAACAGGTTCACAAGTCCACAAGTCATAAATTTACGCACAGCAGGTTTTTATCAACACCACTTGGAAATTGAGCACATTAAAAAATTAAATACTTAACAAACTAACCTCAAGGGAGGATAGACACCATTGTCGCTCCTCATCCTCACTCCCTTACTGTCAGACTCATTCTTAAAGGCTTCGGATGGTCTGGGTGTATCCTTGGCCTTGCTAACATGTGATTTTGGTCGTTCTCTGGATAGACAATTGCATTTCTCAAAATGGATGAGGGAGATGGATTGATTTACAAGAAAGAAGAATGCGACATGATATCAAAAAGCGAGCACGTGATGACAGAGACAACAAACTGCTATGCATTATCCCTAACCTTATCCTGTCAACAAGTCTGGAGCTCTTTCGGGCATTCTTGACGAATCGGTGTCTGAGAAGCTCCTTCGCACTTGGCCTCTGTGGAATGCACTTGGGTATTAAGTCCACGATATCTAATAAAAGAAAATCGACTTCGACAAGAGGATAACTCACAACCTTGCAACTTAAGATCGCATTCGTGAAACGTCATAAACTGCTGTCGACATCAATATTATCGTAGGAAATACAACTTGCTTTGGGACAAGATGATTCCTTCCTCATTCTTTATTTCAATGATATGCGACTTAACCGTATATACTGCCAAGTCAAATAATAAAATAACTTCTCAACACTGTGCACAACTCTGCATTTTATTGTCTACATCATCATCTTCCCCCCCAAAAGCAAAATATTTGGAATCTGATGTCCTCCAGTTTTCCATACCTCAGAAGGGTTTTTCTTAAGGCAGAAAGATACGAACTCCTTGAAGGGTCGAGAATAATGATCATCCAGCTGCAACAAGTAAAATTACATTTTTATGTTAATCACCAATAGACTACATAAATTTAGAGTAGACGAGTAAGTGGACAATGGAGTGCAAATCCTTAAACCAAATTTGGTAGTACTGGCAGCTAATAGACTCTAAAGTCTAAGCAGACTGGATGAATCATCAAACATAATTTATCGAAAATATGAGATTAATTCCCATCCCTCCACAGCATTTTATCCTGTAATTAGCAGCGCCACAAGACTCTCACCTGCGGCGGGTTGTTCTTAGGAATAAGAAAAAGAACACGCATAGGATGCAGATCTGCGTAAGGTGGCTCCCCTTTTGCCATCTCAATAGCGGTGATCCCCAATGACCATATATCTGCCTGCAATGAAAATCACCTGCTCTCAGCTATTGAATGAATGAGAATGATCTTTCCATCACAAGCATAACCCCCTTCAACACGAATGAGCAAAAAGTAGCATCAACTAGGGCACTCCACAGAGCTCTGAGCCAACAAAAAAATGGCGTACACCATTTAATAAGAAATATACATTAGCTACGATTTCCGAGTAGTTTCCGATTACCTTCTCATTGTAGCCATCTCCAGAGTTCTGTATGACCTCTGGCGCCATCCAGAATGGAGTTCCAACAAATGTCTGCAGCGACATGTCAGACTTCCAATTAAATCGGTTCATTCTTAGACAAAATCACCAATTTTAAGACCACGTAACAAACCGCTCACATGGTTCATCCGCATACAGACTCGGTTCCAATATGCTGGATAAGGCTACTCTTTCAAAAAAAGCCACATACAGTTGAGAAGTCAACTGACCTTGCGTTTGGACATTGTACGAGTCAGCTGAGCAGAAACTCCAAAATCTGCAACCTGCACCACTTCCCATCAGAGCCGATATTTATTTCATCACGTATCACAAAAACACGAATTATAAAACCAACAGACTAGCTGTATTTTTTAGGATACCAATATACACTGCAAAGATATACCACAGTACATTGTAACCGTTAGCCACAGAGCGATTAAACATTCGTAACAAATCTACACTGTAAGCTTCAATAAGAAAAATAGTCAGCTAAGACATTTTGATCTGATCTTATAGTTGTAGTATCATTCTGAAATTTACAGTCTAAGTGGCGAGGTAAACTTACCTTAACATCTCCATTTGCAGTGAGCAGTATATTAGCCGCTGCAACAAACAATACCATGGATACATTATCGATAACTATAAATGGAGATTTGTAAGCCTTGAAACTACCAGCAGGCGAAGATGCAACATACTCCAACGAATGCTCAAAACCTCATGCTCCTGATAAGCTATGACCTAAAACGTCATCCAAAAATAAAATGCTAAATGAATTAAGTCTAGCATAAAATCTGCCATTACTTGCATGATGAACTACGTACACTGGCTCAGAACAAAAAGTAGGTAAAACTTGACGCAAAAGACACCCCTGCACCTTTAATATCACGATGTATTTTTCCTTCTGAATGTAGGTAGTCCAGTGACAGCAACAGCTCTCGTAAGATGGACGCTATAGAAACTTCATCAAGTGGTGGTCCAGTCTCAAGCTGCGTCAACACAAAAATCAAAGTCTTTGTGAAACTTACGTGAAGCAACCTACATCACAGCTACTCCACACAACTAGTCCAGTCAATTTGATGCCCCAAAACTTAATTAAAAATTCGTTTCAGTGAGTTGTTGTCAGAGGTAAATTATCAACTGATTCAATAACGCAAAAGCACAAAAACAGTTTCATACCCCAACTGGAAAACAAAGTCAAAGTGTGCTGTTAGATTTACCAAGTCTGATACAGAGCCACCAGCCATGTACTCCATGACAATCCATAATTTTGTCGTGTGTAAGTACGACCCATAATACTCTGTGATATGAGGTGATCGACACTGACCTAGTACAGAAATCTCCTGAGAAACAAAGATAAAGAACCAATCAGCTGTCTCCGTAAAGTCCTTGTAACCATAGAGCACTTAAGATCTAATGAGGAACAAACATCTTGAAGACATCTATCCATCAGGGCAGTACCAAATTTAGACTGGAGCTAGAATAAGAAATTTAATATTAAAATTATTTACATTAATAAAGAAAAACCAAACAAACCTACCTTCTGAATGTCCTCAACTTCATCCTCTCTGATAACAAGGAAAATTGCGCACCACATCGAGAAAGTCAGCCTCAGTGATCTTACATACACCTTTCCTGCAACTCTTCAGGGTTTTACAGACATCTAGTAACCCGTGTAAACTTTCACAGAAGTACCTCGTAAATTTACGAACTGACTCCGGTTACGTCTCAAGGAGGCAAAGACAATCAAAGTTAACTTTGGATGAAATGTGTCACTTACGCTTCCTCCAGGTCGATGACTTTGATTGCCACCTCTTTGTTCAACTCCTTATCAAATCTGCTCAAGTACAATTCAAGCAGCATGAACAACTATCAGAACGTAGTCTAGAGTGATCGAAAACTCAAAATTCCATATTTTCTATGAATTTAATCAACCTAAGCTTCATATTGTCTTCACTACCCACTTGCAGCCCTCCAGAAGCTCGCCTGGCATGGAAATGGAATAATACACAGCATGGCGTGATCGATAATGTGACGCGAAAGACAGCTTAGTTTGTGGTCGGTAGTGCAACTAGAGAAGACTCAAGGATCTTTACGTGTCAATTATTGGTCCGATTGAGTGAAGGAGTAACTATAACCAAGGGCATCAGAGTTTTTGATGAAAAGCTATATCCCATTTCTAAACAAAGATCGAAAAAAGAGAATTTGAAAGAAAAGAAGGACATCTTGGCTTTCAAAGCTGGACAGAGAATATACGCTACATCAGATCCAATGGTCGAACTCAATTGCAAAAATAAGACAAAAAATTTGTTAGAAAATTGGAGCCGAGCCATGTCAGTCTCTCCGCGCCAGTTTTGGGAAATGCTGATCAACAAATAAACTCAATGCAAAACTGTAACCTCCAGTAAGTCTACAGTCGTGAGAGTGCATAAAATGTAAGGCAAAACTAAATTAAGTTAAAAGATCAGTAGTTGAGTTGATCGAACCATCTGCAACTTACCCTCTGAAAACATCGCCAAAAGATCCTTTGCCGATTAGTTCCAAATTCTCAAACCGAGCTTCCATGGCACCATCGATAAGTCCATGGACCTCCTCGTCTACATATACGTAATACTCCATTGCTTGAATTACTCAACCCTACTGTCCAAATCCTCGATCCCTTGCAAGTTTCCTTCAATTCCACATTCTCATCCTTCCCTCCACTTTAAACTATCACATTACTCGAAAGATTCATCGAGACTGCACCAGGAACATCGTGACCTCCAAGCATTGTGAACTCGTGATGCCACATACAGAGGCCTCGTTCCTCTTGATTAAAATTCTCCCGCAATCCCATCTAGGAGTGATGTGATACCCCCCCCCCTTCCCCCTCAACTTCACCGCAACCACAATGCATCCACAATCCTCTCGATCTCCAAACCTGCCATCTCCCCTGCTTCGATTCACCTTAAAACCCTGCAACAAACCCTAGAGTAGAACACGAGCAAGCTTGCTCCATTGCTAATGAGCTGCCACAATCGTGAACTGAAAAACGGATCACGTACTCAACCATTATCCACTATTAACAAACTACAAGAAGGACCACGGCGAGCTGGCTAAGCCACTTGGTATGCTGCAACAGCAGCACCAAATCATAACGCGAACCATTCACGTCGAATCAGTGCAGAATCATGACGCGAGCTCTATCGCCATCGCTCGAGTTCCTGTCTCAGTGCTCAAAAGGCCAGCCTGTATACAATGACTATGCCGTCCGAGATTAGATGGATGAGAAACGCCTCATGATTTCAACAGAACGACATTTTTCATTCATTAGATGTAAAGCAAACGATTTATGGTTGGTTACGGGTGGATGTCTCTGTTCGTTCATCGACTGCTTGGTTTGGAGAGCTTTTCATTTCGTGGATTAGGGTTTCGATGCTTTTTGTTGAAATGCTGCATGTAAATTGCTCAGATCGGCAATGCTGTCATGGATGTAAGCTGACTGTTCTTTCATCTTTCGAGTAAATCCTACGGTGGATGAGTAGTCGCATTCAAGGTAATGTTTGTGATTTGGTGAAGTGAAATTCGACTTGGTTCAACCTGAAGCTTGTCTCTGGAGATTTGGAGCAGCAATGTGTGTACAGTAGTTGGTCGGGATAGATTTAGCCCTTACCAAATAGCGGAATGTAATGTGTGGATTTATAGTGCGAGGCACACCAGCTTCGTAGCATCAATTGCACGAGTAAAACAGCTGTTTCTTGTGTCTTTTTTGAATTCGTAACCATGTGCTGCTATTGTCTACAAAAACTCGGGGATGGTGATATTATTGGTTTGAAACAATTAAAGAAATTTACCAAGTCATCCGACAGAGCATTGTCTAAGGTCGATAGGATCATATCCTGACGCCTGTGAGCACTTTCAAGTTTATAGAGATATTTAGCTTGGTGGCTTCTTTGAATGCGGAGGTAGTTAGGAGACAACATGAAGGCAGGTGTGTTCATGTTGAAGTTGAAGCAGAGTCAGAGGCAGTTTTCAAAATACAGAAGAAGCGACTAGTATTGAAGATTGAGCTGCTGATAGCAGCAAGTTACATATTCCTTCACGGGCCTGCTGGTGACTTTTTCAGTGTTGTATTCGGACTATTTACTTACATTTATATTTTCTGATTGCAAGAATGTGAAAAAGAGAAAGGTTTAATGTGCTACCTTATGCTCGAAAGCTACGGGAGGAGGGAAGTCTGGGAGGCCTAACATCGAGGTGCAGAACCTAATAAATTTTACCATTTAACCTCTTCTATGAGGTGGTCATTGATATCGGCTAGCTAATTTTCTTTTGTGACAATGCTGAAATTCAGTTGCAGCTGGGCCAAACTACTTAGTCTGTTGATCAACATAGCATTTTCTCAGGTTCTTTTCAATACTGAATCCTCATTTCTCTCCCGAAGAATAACACAGGTTTTTGTATTATGAAGCCATGATGCTTACCTCTGTAGCTTTCTAAACACACCTAATCGTACTGCGAGATGATTTTGGTCATCGAATGAACCTCGGAGATCCCAGCTTGCTGTGCATGGTTGTTTCAAAGAGAACCATGACAACCCACACAACTGTACATCACCTCAAAGCAGCTCAAAACATTCTTTTGTATTTTAGGGGAAGAAGACTTCCTTGCCTCTCATCCTTGGAGTGTCATGATTTTCATGTTTTATGCTCCATCAGCATGTCCCTCAATACATTTTCGGAGGAGTCTGAGAACCAAACACACAAAATCATTTTTACTGCGGCTACAGATTTAGCATTCTCAATCACAATGCCTTAGTTATTTAGGATGACCACTAAGATCAGAGAGTTGGGAAAGGGAAGTTGGCTGACCCTGAGGGCGAGTGAGCAGGCGAGGAACATCATGACTGGGCCGAAAACTCCAACGGGTTCATTAATTGTCGGTCGCAAAGCTGTAGTGCCCTGCTCCCCTCCACTCCCCGCACGAAATTCTTCACTGACATGAATCCGGCATTGAGACGCCATTTCCTCCCACCCCATTCTCACATGAAACTTTGCGTTTGTAAGTACCCAATGAAATAGGATTCTAGAACTCTTGATGGTACTCAGTTTATTCCTGGCACTTCTGAGATCGAAGTTGTGACTGCTCGACGGAACATTGGACTTAACTGTGGTGAAGAAACTAGTGCAACTACGGCAGTTTCTAAGAATGAGAGGTCTTCCAGACAATTTGTGCTGATCTACTTTTCGGGACAGTTGTCAAAGTCTTCATCATTTCTAATTATTTCAGCAAATACTATCTGGTTAATAAGAGTATGGTGTGACACAGCTCCTCGAAGCAAACGTATTAATTTCAATTCTACATGTGTGCTGTTTATTGGGAGAAAATAAGAGTGTACCTTCCTCAAATTTGCGTTTCTGGTAGCACCAAACGAGTTTTCTTCTTTTGGTGGTGAGCTCACAGCTACTTCACTTTCCGAAGTGTCAGGGCTTTTAGATAATCGTGCATTTTTGAACTGCAAAAGCGTATTTACATTACATATATAGTATACCATGTTCATAAACCTCGTAAGTTTAGAACCAATTAAAATCATATCTTGATGGTTGAAATCAATTGAAAAACTTGGCAACTCAGATGGTGGGCTCCTCGATCCGGCAGGATACTGCTCATGGAGTACATTGACCACATAGTATGTTGCTTATTATATCAAGAGGTGCAGATATGTATGAGCATGTATATATTAGGCACATGCAGAATGGGAAACCATGTCACAAACACCAATTAGTTCATAAGATTATGGGGGCACTTTTTTGCCACGGATGCTGTTTACATAGTTACCGAGTAACTCAGACAACAAGAACCGACAAGAACTGAAAAAAATATGGCAACTCAGTCTCGTAGACGCCTCATTACAGTTCTATGTAAGCTGATAATGCTGCTGTGCGATGTAAGATTCGTCTGAATATGAGATCTTCTGACTCTAGCAGTTGCAACGTTATTGTGAATTGAGATTGCATGTCGTTTGATGCAGATTCTGTGCCTAGCAGATTTTTCAAGCTGCAGTTATAAGGTTGCTGTAATGCAGGCAGCCATCATGTGTTTCTTTTCACCCAGTTCCCACCGGTTGAACAAATCTGCTTGGTTTCGCCCCAATATACCATTTCAGACTGTTAAAGTTCGGATTCCAAGTCGTGTCTCTTGGATGGACTATGTAAGACTTTGCGTCCAATACCTTTGGTCAAAGCCCAACGAGAGAGCCGGAAGCGTTTTAAATTAGCGTAATGCTGCTACGTAATGCAATATGTTATATGAGCATGGCCTGAGGTACCTTTTCCGACTTAGGGGAGGCCCCGTAGCTAGTATGTACAGATACACCATCTTCTCCAGAGGTCCCATTCGAAGTATACATTGATTGCTTGGAATTGGTCATATTCATTTCAACCGTCCCGATGGAGCCTCGTGAGCATGTCTCTCCTGCTTTATTTTCTCTTGCAGGTGATGTACCTGAGCTCTTGGACGAAGGACCAGCTACAGATGCAGTTGAGGAAACGCCGCTACCAAGACGACCCTCATCAACAGGTATCTGTTTAGACACAATAAAGAAAGAAACCCTACATTACTCAGTTTTGAGAGGCAGTTTCATAGATTATTTTTATATATGATCACCTTGCATGTGTCGAAGGCCTATTTCAAGTCATACCTCTCGGTTATTTGGCAATTCGCATCCTCCTTTAACAACGGAGTTCCTTGACGAGCCCCTTGACGAGTGGGATTGAGGACGTGTAGGCTGGATGTTGTGACATGGCTTCAAGGAGCGTCGGTTGGAGGAATTCTCTGTATGACAGACAAGATCTTCTAAACCTGCGTAATGATGACTTAATGTCCTGAATTTATCCTGCCAATCCTCCACTTCAGCCCGCAAATTGTGGTTGCTACGCCGCAATGAAGCCTGTTGCAGGTATGGGAAGGATAATTTATTATCTCTTATTCGAAATAGAAAATATGGAATAATTCCTCAGTCAAGATATTGCCACTATTGAGCTAACGTAAATCCCAATGCGACATAGCGCTGCGACGGATGAAACATTTAAGCAGGGTTGCAGATTGTCGAAGTTGATACCAAACTATCTCTTGACAGTTCATCATGTAATAGAAATCCCATGACCGCAGAAAATGGGTTTTAGTAAGATCACGTATTTTCAGCTCTTGGACGTGGCCATATAGGAGCCGATTTTCTTAAATTAAAAGTAGACTTTCTTATCATGTAATTGTACCAATTCCACCAGAAGCTGAGCCTTCTCCCCTCCAAGAGAGGCTCGAACCTGCGCATAGTTGAACCTTACGTGAGGATTTTAGCAGCGTTTCTTTCAACTGACTCTGCTTCTGAAGTTTAGCTATGTAACAAAGATTTTTCTCTGTCTCCAAAGCAAGAAGTACGATGCAAGTTAAAAGTCTCACGGAGCTTGAGAAAAATTGACACAGAAATGGATACCAAACCTTGCGCAGTTCATGATCATAGTGTGCAATGGTCGATGACATTTCTTGACCCTGCAGGTTCTTCACCTGTGAAACGTAGGCAGCAAACGAAACCCTTAGTTCATGGACAGAATTAATTGTGACGTTGATTCAGGTGTTACGGCCATTGTTAGGTCTAAGAGATCAGGTCTAGCACGAACACAAGTAAACTTCAACACAAAAAAAGGGTTTTCAAAATGTGAACTATTGGACAACCTGTTGCTCTAAGATCTCATTTTGGAGAATCAATTCCTTGTGATCGGTTCGCAGATCATCGTAATTCTTCTGTAAGGAATGAGCAGTTATTCGTCTCTTCTCCAGGGCCTTCTTCAGCTCCGAGTTGTGTGTGCGGTACTCACAAGCTGTAGACTGCAAAGATATTCTCCAGGGTCAGTCATCATAGCAGTGACAAACTGCCTCCCATCCAACTATCACACTCGTAATCCTGTGGGACAAGCTGGAAAATGTATTTATAATAATTCTATACTCAAAAATATGATATTAAATAACCTTCAACGTCAGTGGAACAGAAGAATCTAAATGTTGACCTTGAGCGTTTCGTACTTCTTCTGCAAAGCTGAATGCTCAGCCTTATGGGTTGCTTGCAGCTCCTCAAGCCTGGCATTCATGTCCTCCCATCGCCTTTCCTGCAACAAATTACCAAATTGGGCCCTTGTGCGTCTGGTTCTCCAATAAACTTTGCAATATATGACTTATAATCCACAGGTTACACACATCCGCTAGTGCATATGATCTGATCAGGCATGCCGAAGTTTTGTTTCAATGCTAAGAATTGAGGAGTTTCGGTTGTGTAGGGCGTGTGTACTGTTTTAGCAACAAGCAATTATTAGGGAATGTACCAGCTTCCCATTCTGATCCAGTAAATCCTGGTTCTGCAATGCCCTTGCCTGCTTGTATATCAACAATCAGATCGTTAGCAAGTATCTAAATAAACATGCAACTTGGGATGTTCCTCCATCGACAAAGTTGCATAACATGAAATTAATACCTAAAATGAAACTAGTTATTTGACTGAGTACCACCAGGAAATTATGCATATTTGGTGTTTATGGTCGTAATTGGTTTTCTTTAAGCTTGAAATAAAAATCAAGTGATAAAAAAATAATTCACTACTTTCGCAACTACCTGCCGGCTTTTTTTTCTTAAGGATTATTTTAATGATGCATGTTTGGAAAATGTTTTCATATTTAGATTTAACAAATACATGTTGTCCCGTATGATAACATTATGAATTAAAAGTCAAATAACTAGTTAATTTTGATATATAATTAAAAAATGGGACTCAATAAATGTAATTTTTGGATACATTTTCTTCAAACATACTTTTGCAACATTTGTATTTGGAATGTTGTATTAGATTGTTCAAATCACAGAAATATAATTTTTTAAAGTATATCTGAAGACGACTTATTTTCAGAATCGATGTATTCAAAAAGTTACCCTAATTCCAATTAAAATAGAAATAATCACATTACAATAAAATGCTCCTAAGATTATTTTGCAGTCATCAGTACGTATTTGGCAAAAGAATTCAGCTCAAAAGTATAAGATCAGTTCTTTGTTTTCTATCTATGAAAAGTAGAAGTGTAGACCAGGGTTGGTATTTTGTTCAGTTTGCCATCCCTCAACTCTATGTCCAATACGTACCTCGTGAAGTATGCGGGCTTCAGTGGCCTCCACATTTATCCTCTCAATCTCTTGCTGTTGCGCCTTCGTGAGGGCGTGTGTCTCACGTCGCACCTGAAAATACATTCGAGAGTAATTACATCAATCAAATTGTCAAATTGGAATTTCGGACACATCATGTGTGGTGCATCATGCTTAGAAGGACGTAGCACGGTCCTTAAACCTACACTGAATTTCTTACCTTGTCAAGCTCCATGGTTGCTTCACGGGCTGCTGCAACAGCTTCAGCAGCGGCAGCTGCGTGCTTTCGAACCTCATGAGTCGCAGCTGTGGCCACCTTACCCCTTAGTTGATCAAGGTCGAGACCTTGCTTAACAACTGAAGCTGTACTTTCACAACCAAACCACGACATAGTGAACGTTACAATTCCATCCAGCGACCATATGCTTACCACATGCCCATGCCATTCAGAGAGGCTTTCGCAGAACGACAGCATTACTTGCACCCGAAAAACTCAAGATGCAAAGAACAGTACAGGGAGTACTCAACACAAAGCCAGCAAATGCTCAAGTTCCTGAACACGCGAAAGGAGGCCGGATGCAGCAGCTTCTACACTGCCCACATAAACTCGCAATGAATCGGTCTCCCTTTGCCCTTCCTCTCTTGCCCTGAAATAATCAATGACAAGACACATCACCTTCTAACAACATGCCGAGAATAATTTGAATCTTGTTGCTGCAGCAAACTACAAATCAAGGAAGCCTGTGGTACTTCTTTTGAGTCTTTTACAGTCTCAAAATTGTGATCCCAGAATCTAAGCTCCAAGCATTCAAAATATTCAATCGAATTGCGAGAGCCAAAACCCCTAAAAAGTTTCAAAATAACGAATGTTGTGTTTAGTGCTCACTCGAAATCTGCTAATCGTGCTAGCAATTGGTCAAGGTAGAAAGATGGATGAAACAATTCAAGAATTGACATAAAGACCTTTCTGAGGCGCGCAACGCTACTTGAAATTCTGAAAATCTTTGATGGAGGTTGACAGAGGCTGGATGATCGTACTGCGGGGACACGCAACCAATCCCTCAGTTATTGTCCAACTCCAGTAGTATTCAAGTCACCCAAAAACATGTTCTTACTGACAAACTGGAAGATTAGAACATTCAGTGGATTGCAATTAGGTTTGGATAGACGTACATTGTCTACACTGGACATGGAGGAGCCTTCACCAGAGCTGGGCCAAAATGGGTGACTGCCAGAGGGTGGCAACACGGAAGGGGGAGACTCCTGTGGGCGACCATTCTGTTTCTTCTTATTTGTGTGCACCTCGTAATGCGGCAAAAATTCGCAATCATTGTCAAGTGATTTCCCTATTTCTTCATAGACGCATTCAGTCTTTGCGTTTTTGCTCTTTCCTGTCATTTTTAGAGTCTGATCTACTACGACGCTGTGTACGTCTGTAACACCAGGACCTGAACAATTCTGCATCGAAGAAAAACTCGCTTCTCGGGAGGACCACTGCTCTATGGCAGACTTGATGCTGAGAAGCACCCAACAGTAGGGTGGGCAAAACTGCAAGCATAGAAGTTGCACCTTTCATCTCCCATATCATCTTCACTTGTGATGCCCTCAAACAAACTTGCTTCCTCGATACGATCTGAATAACTCACCTTAATGTAATTGGTATCCGAAGACTGTGATTGAATGCATTATCTTTAAAAAATAGTTTGTCTCTTGAGGGATGGAATTAGACCCTCTCAAGTTACAAGCAAACCCTGAAGGAGAATTTGTACCCACAAGCATATGAAACTAAGAATCACTGATTTTTATTCTATTCAGAAAAAATAAGACGACACCAAATCTGACGATATCACTTACAATGAGAGGTTCGGGAATCCAATCGATGACAGAATGCTACTATTTCTTTGCACAATATGTTACCCCCGGCATCCTTTCTGCCTGTTGCAAGCTTTGCATCAATGCAGGAATTACGGTCGCAAACGCCCTCAAGTAATTATCAGAGGAACTCCACGTCACTTCATCACAAACATGAAGTTTAACTTTGTCGAGTTATCTACAGTAGCAAGCCTGCACTCAGCAGCAGCAGCATCACAATCAGATCGCAGCAAGCTATTACAGTCACCAGCTCTGGGACAAACGAGAAGGTCATGACTTACTTGAAAAACCTAATCTTCTGACCAGAATAATCTGTCAGAAGCCCGAAACTGTGCTGGAAGCCAAGTCCGTAAATTTTTTAGGAAAACACCCACTTCAGAAGATGGTCTGTGCAGCAGCTACGCAACCCAAGTGGGAGGATGCAGATGCAGAGGTCTTGTGAAGCTGGAAGGTGAGGGCGGAGGAGGGCATTGACACCGATGATTCAAAGAAGCGATGATGGGGTTGGATTCGAGGCTTCTTCGACTCCTGCAGCTGCCTGACACGCTTAACTACCTGCATTGCGTAGTCCCCGTTCGGGCGGTTACATCGAAACGCAGCCCAAACCAAAGCGATGAGACGGATTCATGAAATGGCAGACACTCTCCTCCTCCTCCTCCTCGTCGTCGAACATGGATGCATCCGTCGATCGAGATTCTTCTTCGGCTGCATTCCCCCGCCCCCTTGCGCCTCCAGCCCATTGCTGCTCTCGACATCCAACGGCGGAGACCCCGAGGAGGCGCAGTTGAATTTCGGGAACGCTGCACTTGTGCCTTGAATGTTGAGGACTCAAAGGGAAGACCCCAATGCATTCAAACCCATTTGATACGAAACATTTATATGATAAAATTTAACAGTAATTTTACAACCAGAAAACTAGGAAAATAAAAAGAAAATGCACTCGTGAGAAGGAAGCATGAGTCTCAACTTCTGTGGTTTTAAAGGATCAACAAAAAAATTGTTTATACATCGATGGGAATCCCTTCAAAGAATTTTGAGTGTATTTTTCTTTTTCCTAAGCTTATTTTTGGACGTTTTGCAACACCTCGATTGAATTTGTTTAGGCAATGTGGCTATTGAACAAACTTGTAAATGAGCCCCATATTTGCCTCCCAAAGGCTGGAACAAAGTTGTTGGACACATTCGGATTCTGTATTGAAAAGGGTAATTCTTCTATTAGACCTGTCTTGTACCCAAAACTTCCTTTACTTTCTCCAATCAACGTTCCTGCAGTAGAACTCCCAATTTCCCACCATTTAAACTCCACGTTCCCACAAGTAGAACACAAAACAAACAAGTCAAACACCTGCGAATTCATTCCAAATAAGCAATTCGATGAGCATGAGGAGTGGATTTCCTTGCCTTGGGCTTCAAAACATTCTTTCGACTACTTCATTTTGGATGGATTTAGAAATAAAATACTCAGAGAGCAAGATGGTATATATTAAAGGTTTATTATAGGTTGGTCCAAATTTTTATTAAATTGCATCCAAAAATAATAAGGTACTTTAGAGCAAATGACAACATTTGCAATCTCTGTAAGCATGGTAAAACAATTAATAATAACATCTACTTTCTATTGTCTCTTAACCTTAAGGTCCCACGGCCCCACCATGTGAGTTTTTTCTATCTTATCTATATAAATTTTGTTGCATCACTAGGATGTATAAGTTTTAATTTTGTTTTTGTTTTTGTTTTTTTTATTATTAATTTTGATTTTAACATTAAAAATATTAATCATACCTAATCAAGAGCATGAATCTAAATATGACTATGAAAACAAGCCAGTCTGACAATTATTAAAGAGGTACTCCATTATTTGCATCATATATGTGTTGGAATAATCAAAATGTTTGTTTAAGAACATGAACGTGTTTGTTCATGGTATTTTGAGTATTTATAATAAAAATTAAAGTCTTTATAATAAAAATAAAATAATAATGTGCTATTCATCTTATACTTATATATATATATATATATATATAACATAAAATTTGCATACTGAGTCAATCAAAGGATTAAAATAGTGATAATGTGATGCATTTAGCGGTGAGCTTAACAAGCTAACGATCCAAACCCAATGCACAAGCATTCATTTTGATTCATCATGAAATACTACAGTTCAAGTATTTACTTTGTAACCGACATCTTAAAAAATTCCCAGAATATTCTACGTGCTACAAAAACTTTTGCAATTTTGGACGGCAATTAAAATACCATGTCATGTTTGCAATATATTTCAATTTGTTCTTTAAAATTCTTGAACAACATATAAAGTCCCATGTTATCTATGAATAGAAATCCATGTGAAAAGAACGTCATATGCAAAATAAAAATATAGAACATAAGAAGCACCATGGCTGCTAAAAACTTAAGATGTATCTTATGTTTCAACTTTAATTTATATATATATATATATATATATATGTATTCATTAGTGAAAATGCCATATTTTCAAAGTATTTTACTATAGAAATACTCTGTCAAAGCACAATTCTAAATAAGTGATCATTCTCACAACTATATAATTGTCCAACAATGTGCTTCTAGTTTTTCCTGTAATTTCAAAAACTATGATAAGAATTGCTTCCAGCCACAACCACCTACTTCAGCTAAGTCAACACTACTGCATTCCAAAGATTTTCCACAAAAAGAGGAACAAAAACCTAGAAAAGAAAAAGAGAAAGAAAAAGAGAAACAAGAAAAGAAAAAGCTACGAAAGAAAGAGGAAAGAAAACAATCCGAAAAGGAAGCTAATTGATAAAGATAAAGAAGAGAAGAGAAGGAAAGAAATACAAGAAAAAGAAAGAAATACAAGAAAAAGAAAGAAATGAAAAGAAGCAGAACAAGTAAAAACAAGTAAAAACAAGTAAAAGTAAACGTAAAAGGTAAAACCAAGAATAAGGAAAGAGAAGAAAGCGAAAGGGGGAAAGATAAGGAAGAAGTGCACCATGACAGCCTCAGGCTGTAGAACCCAAGAAAAAGCGACGCCGTCATGGCGCCGTCTACAGCACCGCGATTAGGTCACCGTTCCCACCGTCCTGGGAGAGTGGGTGGTGGTTCGGAGATCCAGACCAGACCACCGCAAGCCGCCGCTTGCCCTACAAACCACGCCTTCAACCATGCGGCCACGTCAGACGTAGCTCCTTGCCGCACCATCCACACCGTCCGATCTCCCATCCGACGGACCCACCGCATTCCGAACATGCAAAGTTTGCGCTTTCTCCTGGCCTTCAAGAATGCTCTCCCACCCCTCCCACTTCCCTACTCTCTCCCAGGCAGGACGGCAGGAGAGATTGGTCGTTGTTGCGCACTTCACTGTTACAGATAGAAACCTCCGCTTCTTCAGGTATTGTCCCTTCCCCTGCCCTCTTGCTCGTTCTATGGAGTTATTGCACTGGCTACATGCAATGAGTTTGCGGCTATGCTCGAATACATGGTCACTTCTACTATTTGGAAACACGATACACGGTTCATATCCTGTGTTGCTACTTTCAGCAGTGCAGGAGCTGCTGACCTTCGGTGTTTCATCTCCGGAGGGTGTATGTCACGTCCTCAGGATGGTGTATTAGCTAATATCTGAGAGGCCGACTTGAATGGCTCTATTCATGTAATTTTTTTGTGGATAGAGTCTGTGACATGTTGTTTCCACTTGTGTTTTGTAGCTCTTCACGATCCGCTGTGGCCTATCTAAGTTTGGTACCATTTATGTGAAGCAGATAGTTCAAGATGGGTAAGGAGAAGGTCCACATCAACATCGTGGTCATCGGCCATGTCGACTCCGGCAAGTCGACGACCACTGGGCACCTTATCTACAAGTTGGGAGGTATCGACAAGCGTGTGATCGAGCGTTTTGAGAAGGAGGCGGCGGAGATGAACAAGCGTTCGTTCAAGTACGCGTGGGTGCTGGACAAGCTGAAGGCAGAGCGCGAGCGTGGTATCACGATCGATATCGCGTTGTGGAAGTTCGAGACCGTGAAGTACTACTGCACTGTGATCGACGCGCCCGGACATCGCGATTTCATCAAGAACATGATCACGGGAACGTCGCAGGCGGACTGTGCTGTGTTGATCATCGACTCGACGACGGGAGGGTTCGAGGCCGGTATCTCGAAGGATGGACAGACGCGTGAGCACGCACTGCTGGCGTTCACTTTGGGAGTGAAGCAGATGATTTGCTGCTGCAACAAGGTGGGTTCGGGGGCATTTTGGTTGAGGTTGGGGGGTAGGGACATGGTATGGGAGCGGGGCGCGGTGGTGGCATTGGGTTGCGTTATGGACATGGCGTGGGTAATGTCGGGGGCAGACGAGTGGGGTAAGGGGTAGGGTTTTTTGCGTGCATTTTTGGGGAGCAGTGAGGTGGGCTGATGTTGGTGATGTGGAGGGTGGCAGATGGACGCGACGACCCCGAAGTACAGCAAGGCCCGATTTGAGGAGATCAGCAAGGAGGTGTCGGCGTACCTGAAGAAGGTGGGGTACAACCCGGACAAGATTCCGTTCGTGCCGATCTCAGGGTTCGAGGGTGACAACATGATCGAGAGGTCGACGAACCTGGACTGGTACAAGGGTCCGACTCTGTTGGAGGCGTTGGACAACGTGTCGGAGCCGAAGAGGCCATCTGACAAGCCTCTGAGGCTGCCGCTTCAGGACGTGTACAAGATTGGGGGCATTGGAACTGTGCCAGTGGGACGGGTGGAGACGGGAATCATCAGGCCGGGCATGTTGGTGTGCTTCGCACCGACGGGACTGACGACTGAGGTGAAGTCTGTGGAGATGCACCACGAGTCGATGCCCGAGGCACACCCGGGTGACAACGTTGGGTTCAACGTGAAGAATGTGGCGGTGAAGGACCTGAAGAGAGGGTACGTGGCCTCAGACTCGAAGAATGACCCTGCAAAGGAGGCAGCAAACTTTACGGCGCAGGTTATCATCATGAACCACCCGGGACAGATCGGGAACGGTTACGCACCAGTGCTGGATTGCCACACGTCGCACATTGCGGTGAAGTTTGCGGAGATCTTGACGAAGGTGGACAGGCGATCGGGTAAGGAGCTGGAGAAGGAGCCGAAGTTTTTGAAGAACGGGGACGCAGGGTTCGTGAAGATGATTCCGACGAAGCCGATGACGGTGGAGACGTTCGCGGAGTACCCACCATTGGGACGGTTTGCGGTGCGTGATATGAGGCAGACGGTGGCTGTGGGTGTTATCAAGGCCGTAGAGAAGAAGGAACCCACCGGCGCCAAGGTGACCAAGGCCGCTGCCAAGAAGAAGTAGTTTTATTGGTATTGCGGAGTTGGCAGTTTTGGTATTGGTTCGGGGATATTTTTCTGAATCTAGGGATATTGAGGTGCTGTGCTTGCTCGAAATACTTGGTGCGGTCTTTACTTAGTCCAAGTTGGGTTCCGCTCATTTTATCTCGATGCTGAGATGTATGTAATGCGCTTACTCTTGATTTTATTTTTACTGATTTGGGCCAGCGTCCAAAGTTGATTCAATGAATTTCCAGATGTCTGCTATCTTTCAAGTCCGATTTATTGTATGTGCCGATTCGAGCCGCTCTTCTGTGCTACTTGCGCAGTAATTGGCCATGAAGGTCTTCTTGAAATCATGTATGCCCATCGTTTCAAGCCTCAACTACTCTCTATTTACCCAAACAGGACAACAGATGATTTCTTATTTGTGGTCATGTGGCTTCAATTGTCCAGGATTCGGACAGTCTATATCTCTTCAGCAACCCGCACATTCACTTTCTCAGTCAATGCCATTTCTCTAACTCTATACCTCAACACGTACGACGCTGGTTGTCAACAATACTATTCCTGCTGCCAGTGGCTGACATGCACCATGTTTGGGGAATTCACTGAAACTGGTTAGCACCCCTGAGTTGTGATTATACATCTTGGAGTACGACGCTCCTGATCTGATTTTTTACCAGATGATGTATTACAGCGTACCTCACTGTAAGGGTAAATAAATTACAGTGAGTTCACGATTCTTAACTTGGCTTGTCTGCTGCTCTTCTCCACGTGCAACGTTGAATTAGTACGGCGCCACCTATAATGCTCTGCTGATGGAAAAGGATCAAAAACTGTGATGTATGCTACTTTCTTCGACATCTACTGCTGCGGCCCGTGTGATATAAACATGCGAATAGACTGTTGTCGGTGCAGTAGAGAAACTAGTGCGTTTCTAGCAGGATGAAAATCTTTGGTACACTGGGAGTCAATTTTTATTAGACAGAATCTATTACCCACTTATACGCATCAGAAGTTGCTGTGTTAAAGATATGCTCGCTCAAGTTCTTCATGTTGTCTGCATTAATAGTTGCTTTAATAAAGATATGGTATCCCTAGTATTGCTCAAAAGTTACCCACATATTGTTTATTGATTCTTTTCTTTTCTTTTCTTAAAGAAAGGGAGATTCCAACCTCTTTCTATTTGATTAGGCCTGTATTGATATCCTTCTTTTTGACATTATGTAGTTTTTTGAGTTTCTTTATAGTGGGGATTCCACAGTGGCTTGTCATGGAGATCTTGCAACAAAATATCATAAAAGAGGGTTTAAAAGATTCTTTGAAAGAACAGTTGAAAATTAATTTCTTTCAAAGAATCTTTTAATTAAGAGTTATATTTTTGAAATATTATAAACATATCATGCATATATATATATATATATATATATTTTAAAATATTTGATATTCATTTCTCTACACTAAATTTTATGTTAAAGAAGTACATAGTTATAAAATTAAGTGATTTGTGCTGATTTATGTAAGTGTAAGTAAAATGCAACTAGTCTAATTTAATCTTTATTGACAAAAAGAAAAGAAAAAAAGAAATAAATGTTTGAGTTCTCAATCATACTGCAAAGAGTGAAAGCATCAAAAATAAGAAAGTAGGTGATTTCAAAAATCCAAAATAAATATGTCAAAAAGCTTAGGGAGGTCAATGTAATCCTAAATTCCAAATCCTAAATTCTTAAATCTTAAATATCTAAAATTTCATTCTTATTTAGAGCGATTTGAATATATGTATATATATTTATACACACACACACACACACATATATATATATATATATATATCGAGAGAGAGAGAGAGAGAGAGAGATAGATTTAGTAATCCTAAAATGAACACAATGGTATATTCAAAACTTGCAAAAGACATAAAATTTAAAATCTTAAAGCCTAAGTCAAAGTGACTATATCTTCTAAAGTAAGAACTTTTAGTGCAAGTTATTTAAACCCTCAGAATTCTACATGCCAAAAATAAGAAGGTAAGTCAAGTCGAAATTTCGAAATAAATTTTAAAAAAAACTAGGCACACATATATAAGCCTAAATTCCTAACCAAAACCTAAAATCAAACTATCTATATCTTACAAATGAAAAATCTTTTTGGACATTTTGACTTTACTATAAGAATTATAAGCAAAAATAAATAGAGAAATATGTCATATCAAAACTAGAATAAAATAAAAAATAAAAAATAAAATAAAAATATCTAAGTATATCTTTATAATTCTATATTTTTCAAATCCTAAATTCTAAATTTAAACCTCAAAATTCTTAAAATGCTAAATTTCTAAAATTTTGTAAGTCTTAAATTGTAAAATTTTAAATTTCTAAAATTTCTAAAATTCATAATGAATCACATTATAAAAAAAATATATTATACTACTAAAATATTATCAAATAGAGATTTTTTTTTCAATAGAGTATTTCTATTTATTCAAAAATATTTATACTTTTGAGTATTGGTATGTATTATTTATTTTCATTAAATACGGCTAAATCATAGATTTATTTATAGTATTTATCTTTGTATTAATTGATTCTTTACCAAGTTGCTTATATTATTTGCTCAAATTTCTAAATTTTTAATTTTTAACCAAAAATATCTTAATTATCTCACATAGAATCTAAATAACATAGTATTTATAAAATTATGTTTTGTTGTCAAACATGAAAATTAATCATTCATCCAAATATAATAAAAATCATTTGTTTCTTATATGTACATAGAAAAATTAGGAAATTGTTTATTAAGAAGATCTTTATTGAAAATTAGTCTAATTACAGTTAAAAATATATGTTTAATTTCTATTTATGTTCAATAATCATGAAAAGATTAGTATTAAATCATAACTTTGCATAATATTCAAAAGAAATGAAAAACAAATTCAACCAATGGAATTGAGTTCTAACATTATTGAAATTATTAACAATAAAGAATTTATGCATATATCTATTTTAAATACTCTAAATTTTTATTCAAATATAGAAAACTTAACCAACAAGTAAAAAAAATTATTCTTATCTATTTGGCCTTACATTAATTAATAAATATATTCTTATTTGATCTTATATTATTATAATAGAAAGATTGACATTAGCCTTGTTAAAATTTTCTTAATAAAAATAGATGAGAATTCTTTTGAATTTAATAAAATTCTTTTTTTAACTTGGTTTTTTAATTTTAAACTAATAATTTTATTTGAATAATTTTTTACAAAAACTTAGTATATTTAAATTATATATTGCCAATTAGAATTAAGACCTTATTATTTTTTTAAAATTCTAAGCTTGTAATTTTTTTGGATTAAATCAAACTTGTATTTTAAATCAAATACTAAATTCATATAATATATAAATATTTATCCAAATTTTTTTAACTTTGTCTTTTTGACAACAACATTAAATGACATATTAAATTTATTTATTTATCAATATAAATTTCTATATGTTGGTAATAAATTCAAACATTAGAAGATTGAATTGCTATTAAATAATCACTTTTAGTATTGATTACTAATTGATATATTTAATTTATATATATTTTAGTTGTTTCTAAAGTATGTACTTACAAAAAGTGATGCTACAATATTTTTGTGATTCTTCTTTTGTTGCTGATTAGACATATTTTAAAAAAAACAAGAATAAATATAAAAATCAATTTAAGCATAATACCTCTAAAATACATTCTTGCTTTTAAAATCAATGATTGTTGCTCTTTTATCTTTTCATCTTTTAGAAAGTACAATTAACTTTAATACTTCTTTGTTAATTTTTATAATATCACTATTTTTTTCTTGCCTATGATTTGTAATAATATATGAATCTTTATTTTTTTTAAAATTATTTAATTAAAATAAATAAAATATTTAATTACAAATTTAAAAAATTTCATCTTTGTACATAAAATATTAATGTATATATTTGTTGACAAAAAATTATGTAAACTTGAGATAGATTGTATTATCCAATTATGCGTTCTAGCAGTCCAACAAAACAAGTTGAGTTAATCATTGCACAATGGTCCTACAAGAGAACACCAAACAATTGACACCACATCAACAAACTTCTTGCTGCACGTTATTGATTGTTTATGCTTCATAAAGACATCACAAGTATGTCTCTTTGTGCCATTTGTATCAAATAGCCAAATTTAGATTTGTACAAATAGACCAAGCATTGTTATGGCCCATATCCTTACTTTCACTATTTATGTGTTAGGAACTAGACTTCATCAAATTCATCAAATCACTTATGCAAGTGCAAAATAAATATATACTCATAGTGATAAATTATATCACTAAATGGTGCAAAGCACGTCACAAACATGCATATTTACTCTAATATTTATCTATATGATTAAGTAGAAGTAAATAAAAATAGATTTATTTCATAATATTTTTTAGAATAGTTTTTTAAAAGCTTCATAGATGGTGCTTTGACTTTACATATGTTTATAGTTGATTGATATGTTAGAAACTTCGTCAACAAGTTAACCACATATTGGTAGCTTGTAAAATAAGCTAATTATGTGGCATACATATAGAAAACTTGCCTTGTAAGTTAAGATATGTATCTTATAAAGTCAACATGTTTTGGAGGTCCTATAGAACATTGCCTTGTAGCTCCTAGTTAAGAATATATATGGAGGCAAGAGTGAAGCCTTTTTCATTCTTATCAACGCCTTTTTAGTCGTTAGTCTTATTTCAAGTCTTCTTAGTCTTCTTTTCTTTGGCAATAGCCATTGTAGTTTAATACTATGTCATCTTTGAGTGCTTTTCTAGTCTTTTTGAGTAACACAAGAGTATTGGCATTTTAATTCTTTGAGGTTCATATCCTTGACAATTTGACAAGAGTCCCAATTCATTTTTTTTTATCTTATTTTAGAAGTAAATGGATTATTTTACTTCTATTATTATATTTTAAAGGTTGTAGATTATCTACTTTTAAATAAAATATTTAATTTTTTGATACTATTTTTTTCTTTAAAGAGAGTGAATTATCTCTTTTTGTAGAAATTTTCATTTGATATTAAAGATTCGAAATTATCTTCTTCTAATTTAACTTTTTGAATTTATTTGAATTATTTATAGAAAGAAAGATTATAAATTTTATTTTCAATAGAAATAAAAATAGATTTGTAACTATTGTAGATCTTCACAAATTAAAGATTTACAACTCCTTTATAATTTGAATTCATTCCTAG